TTTCGGATTTTCACGAAGAATTTTTAGGAGGCCCAACTATTTCGTGGAGATTGATGATATACCTATGGCCTTTTATAGAAGATTAGGATTGTGCTGGAGCGCATAGAAGATGCTTTAGAATTCAAAAACGATTTGTAAAAATTACATTCAATTGTTTTTACTTTTCTTCAATACAATTACATGAGATATAACTGACCACATGTAAAAGAGCAAATTTATTGGTGTTTTTATAGTATTATTATTGTTCAGCAGAGCTGAGTAGTCCTGCAGATAGTCCTGGGTAGAACATTTCTCTCTCTATAGATCTAAGTTTGGAATACAGGGGGGCTTTGATTGAATAATGAAAATCGATTCACCGTTGATGGAACTCTTACTATTTCATTCATTTTGCTAGTAATAGATATGAAAATTCACTGGTAAGTATGTTCTTTTGTCTGATTCTGATACTTTTTGACAACAAGATAAAAGTAAACAATGGAAACCCCAATTTTTATTTTACACGCTTTATATTAGCTCCACCTGTATGTATGTATGTATATTTGTTTGTATGCAGGATTATTTGCTTGTTACTCTCGAACTCGGGATCTGTATCGACATAATTATCGGCATTATTGCTTGATCTATTTGCGGGCAGATGTTGTGACCTTCTTGATATTTTTTTATCTATTTGTGAGCAGATGTACGTCAGAATCAGTCATTGCTTGATCTATTCGCGGGCAGATGGCGCTGTACTTAACCTCCTTGATAGCATGTTCAAAAGAAAATCAAAATAAAATACATACTTCAATAATTATAAGTGTTAGCGAAATTTTGTACTACAGACGAAATATTCAGATATTTAAATATTTTAGCTTGCGCAAGCTTCGCTTTACAGAAAAAACGACGAATACGGGCATCAAGCTCCCGATATACAAACAAGTAATCATGTCAGCTATGTTGAGAATCACACGTTAAAAGGTAAGACCTCGTTAGTCCTTAGCTCGCACAAGTTTCTCAACTTTTGAGAGTTGTCGTTCGTATAGGGGTGACAGCTGATTAACGGAAAAACAGAAACAGATGTTATACGTTTGTCTTGTATTCTGCAGCCTCAAGGACACCCCTTCATTGAGCTTGAACATATTTTATCAGACGGTTCGCTTATAAACAAACACTAAATTGTTCCCGAAAGCTCGCTGACTAGTGAAGTCACGGCTATTAGATTTTACTTACCATAATCAGTCCCTCAGACACGGTGGACTAATTCATGAATCCATGGAAATCTTTCACGAACGGCTTGTAGAAGACCGCTTGTAAGTTCATGAAAATATTAGCATCGATTACTCGTATCGATAGTTCTGTCCTGGTTTTTTCATAAACATTTTCCAATTCTGATAACCATGGCGGTGACGATATTTGAAGGAACTTCACACCGATTACATGAAATTGTGTGGATAAGCTAATGCAGGAGGCACACGAATAATACAGACGAACGGAATCAAAATTACTTGGTTAATGCAACCCGCTCCTTTCAGTGATTTCTTTCCCCATCTCTTGAATCGGGTAAATTTCGTTCAGGACTTGACTATATAGTTTTTTATTAACAAGAAGCCCCGAGTCTGATTCAGATACGTAGACGACACCTTCATAATATGGAACCATGGGAATGCAGAACTAGACATCTTCCTGAAGCACATCAACAGCGTGAGTCCTTCCATCACTTTCACAATGGAGAAAGAAGTCTACAACGAACCGCTTTTCTCAGACGTATTGGCGAAGAGGGAAACATGTGTATATTGAAAACCCAGTCACACAGGATAGTATCTGAACCAGAATTCCAACCACCATCCAGCGACTAATCATTATCAATACTCTACTAGACCGTGCTTTCAGGCTCTAATATAAATTAAAGGTTTCGAAAAGGAACCAGGCATCATCAAAAATGACCTACAGAGTGATGGTAGAACAGGCTATAGCTGAAGACAGCAAGAGCTCCATAAGGAAGAGAAGCCTCCACAGCCAGTACTTGTACTTCCCTACATCAGAGGATTATCGGAAAGGATAAGAAGAATTGGGTCCAAGTATAATATCAGGACCTGTTTCAGATCTGGGAACACTATACGTAGCAGCCTCACGAAAACCAGGCCACCAAACGCGAACTGCGATTCTAAGAATTGCATTTATCGGATACCCTGCGAATGCGGAGTATCATATATCGGTGAAACTAAGAGGCCATTGAAAATTCGCATTGCTGAGCACAAGAAAGACACACAACGAGGAGAAACCAGCAAATCCGGAATAACAGAGCATTGTTGGACTCATCAACATAAAATCAAGTGGGCTCAAGCTGAAATCATCCACAAGGAGAAACACTGGTTTAGGAGAAAATTCACAGAAGCCGCGTATATGTTATCCAACAATGCGTTTAGCCAAGCTAGCGTAGAGATACGTAACATATGGAAACCTCTAATCAAGCGGAAAACGATCAATTCCCGCCAAACGGTCATCTCTCGCTAAAACCAATAGAGCGGAGATAGGAAAGAGGGGATAGGTGAAAGCACTCGAATGACCTATAAATAGTCAGATTTTGGAGGAATAAGTCCAGTTATCACCCGAAGACGATTGAGGATACGAAACTTCGTGACGTAACATGCTTTGGAATCTTTCAATTTATTGTATAAAAATAATATTCAATTTTCTGCTTGTATTAACTTTTCAGTTTCTTTATTATTTTCTCTTGGTTGTTGCTTGTGAGTTATTTCTTTGTAATTTCAGTTTTTTGTTTAACAAAATTGTTATTTTTCGGTTAATCTTTTTAATTTCTTTCAGAGAATTCAAATCAATGTATATTATATTAGACAATAGAAGTCCGAACTGATAAAATGGCAAATTACTATTGAATTAATAACCATTGTTGGTCGCAATCTGTCTTATTGAAATTAAATCTTTCCTTCGGTATAAAAAGTGAAAATAAAAACTTAATGTACCTCATTTTCATTAAAAAACGTTATGTTTCAAAATGACACGAATATTCAAATACAAAATTCTCGTGAAAAATATCATGAATTTATTCAAGAAGCTGACTGGGTATGGGACAAAAATATTATAATGACCACAAAAAATATTTATTAAAATTATTCCAAAAATGTTATTGTTGAACCTTAATATAAAGTAAATTTACAAATATAAATTGGTACGGTATGGAAAGTCATTGGAAACCGTACAATTTCGTCAAAATGCAATAAACGAAGTATATGCCGTGGGTTCAAAAACTGTGAGACATGGAATCAGTGACTCCAATTTATGTTTGAAATGCAATGAAATGGATCGGTTGCGAAATTGCGGAATTTCGAAAGATACATGGAAATGTTGAAGGAACAAAATAAATAAGAAATTTAGCCAGTGTAAGCAGTGGTGATTCAAGAGAGATTTTTCATGCAGTATTCAAAAATGGAAATGACGCAAATTTTTGGCAATGGATTAATTGTGGTTTATTGTATAACAACCTGGAGCAGCAAAAAGATTTAACAGGGTTTGTAAGCACACTTAGAAGAAGTAGTTGGTTCATGATATAGTCTAATTGTTTAGATAGATTTTTCAAATAAGTAATTTTCTTTCAAATACTTATAGGAAATTGTTGATTCTATGTAGTTATTATATAGATGAATAAAAATAAGTGATTAAAAAATAATATTTCAAAATTGGGTTGAAACTCTACATTTGATCTCCATTCAGTATCCATTCAGTCTTTTTGAACATGAATTATCTATGATCATAACTATTATCGTGGAAGGTGTTGATGATTTTCATCAAGTAACCGGTCTGATCATTCATGATTTATATGAATCGTTACCAACAATTGATTCAAGTTTTGCACCACTTGCGAGAAGCAATACGAAGAAAACATCCGGAATTGTTGAAAAACAAGTCATGGCTTTTGCATAACGATAATACACCTGTCCACTCATTATTGCTTGTTCACCAGATTTGCCCTCCTGCGACTCTTTTCTATTCCCAAGATTGAAGATACCTATGAAAGAACGTCGTTTTGCGACGATTGAGGAGATAAAAGCCGAATCGATGAGAGAGACCACCACTGAAGGTGACAATATTGTTGATGAAACATGAACATTTGACAGTCAGCAAGTTCCCTCAAAAAAAACTTCCATATTTTTATGTTACATTGTCAAATATATAATAGGTACTTACTACATTTTTTTTGGGAAAGAAAAGTTTTAGCTTTTTAATTCTTCGGCTTTATAAAAAAATGTGGGAATCTTCCTAAAAAAGGAAATATGCAATTATTTTAGAATGAACTTTCTACAAAGATGTGCAGATCATGCAAAGAAGTAACTTTCATACATAAACTGAAAGAACAATCCCTATCAAAACAAGTAATTTCATATAAATATTCAATTATAAGAAAGAAAAAATAATGACTAAACAAATACTTCCATATGAACACGGAATTATACAATTTTTCACTTTGTACCCCAAACATTCGTTATGGAATTGAATCAGATATCATTCGCAGGATTGCTACACAATATAGTGTTACACAATATTGTGTATACATTTATTGTATACTAATCTATACATAATTCAATTCCATGACGAATATTTGGTGTACAATCTGGTGTACTTTGCCCAATTGATAATGTCTTGACTGTACCAGAGAAAAGTCATTGATTATGTAGAAGTAATACTTAAATAAATTGTTAGTTTTTTTTGGTTTGAAAACGAGTTTTTCAACATTTTAATAATTCCCAACAATTCTAGTCAATTCATCTATGAAACACATTTTTCTAAATGTAAAACTACAGATGAATTGAACAAAATATTTTCGATATCACGAGTTCAATTATGCGTGTTATTTGGTAATTGATGGGTTTAAAACAAGTACTAGATAAAAATTATTGAAAAGTATGTCACGTCTTTCCAATTTTCCACCAGGTGCAAATACTTCAAATAGATAAATCAATTATATCACTGAAATGTTTTCCACTTGACCCATGATACATACAAAATGATATAAATATTTCACGAAAAATAGATCATCACATTCGAACTCTGTATTACAAGCAGAATGGTTTCAATCAAAGTGCTGATTTTTGCTTGCACCCTACTGGTGGCCCAGGTAAGAATTTCATCTGTGGAATCAATTGCTTCATCTCTTTGAACAAAATAATACTATGATGTGCCTCATGAGAATTAATTTATTCAATATTCGGTTTATATATGAATTAATTTCGTCTTGGGTTCCTTGTTCTCCAATATTTTCAATATATTACTTCAATTCTAGGAAATCTTCAGTTTCTTATGAACAGTGCTTGTTTTCATAGTTCATAGTTTTTGTTCGGTGTTATAGTTTCATTTGCTCATAGTAATTGTTCAGTAATAAAGCTTTTGAAATTGTATCTCAATATCAATCGATTTTAGAAATCACGCGTTAAAAGGTGAGACCTCGTTAATCCTCAGCTCGCACAAGTTTATACTTCTGAGGGTAGTCGTTCATAGGGGTACGAGCAGCTGGTTAATAGAGAAACACATTTTAAACAGATATGCCATATGGAAAATAATTATAATTATAACAAACTTGGGCACATAAATTAATTAAGTTTCTCCCTTATGAATTCATTTCAGAATATTTCCATTTTGTTTTTATTGAGGTGAGACATTTGAAAAATTCATCCAAATTCCCTTCCCAATGTTTCATTTTGCATTCTAGCAATAGCCCTTTTTGAAAAAAAATGCCCTTTCGCAAAATGTGCAAGATATGAGAACTCAATATTCAGTTGAATTCTGACGCCAAAGTCGAAATTCCATTGAATTCAGAAATTCGGAATTTGTTCGGAGTTTGAAGTCAGAATTTAATGAAATTTTAAGATCAGAGTGAGAATTTGGGTTTGATAGTCGATTCAATGAATTTTTTTTTACTCTCGCACCATGAAGTTCGAAAGAAGGGACCTCTAGTACTCATATTCATGTATGTTTCAATAATTTTTTTTCAGACCCAGGCCTATCCTCAAGCTACTGTCAATGGTCCCATTTTCGACTTCATCAAGGAGCTCTTACTGAACGGAGAGAAAAGTATTGATAAGGTTCTCTTAAAGCTTGACGAACTTCTTAATTCCGCTATTTCTGATTCGATCCAATTCCAACAAGAAATCGTCAGCGTTGCTAGCAATGGTGTTGACAAAGTACTTGATTTGGTGAACTCAAGGTTGGATAAAATCAAAGCTCGTAAGTTCCATAAGCTCTATAACTTCTCAACGAAATAACATTGTTATAGAAAAATTGATGACGTTCTGAATTGAAATCCTGTAATTTTTTCCATATTAGACGTAGTCATTCCTGAATTTTGCAACATTTCAAATTCGAAATTCCGCTAGTCAACCGGTGTATCGGGAGACACAGATTCATTTCTCGAATAATTTTCACAACATTTAAAATATTGAATATGCTCACAAGATGGTACTTTTTCCATCTTCCGGTTTTTCTGGAAATGACATCAAAGTTTGATAATTTTTAAATGAAACGCCCTGTATACTATTGATTTCTTTAAATGCACCTAATTTCATGAATCCGATAATACTCCATAGCTGATATTCGAATTATGGATTGACACAGATGGTTATGTCAGCTGGCCAGCAAGATCACCAGACTTAAGCCATTTAGACCTTTTCACGATCCTCGCGGGTTATCGGGAAAGTTGCTATAGAATAATGAAACAACTGTGGATGTTTCTATGAACTGTTATTGTGAGTCAGTTACTGAATACATTGTTGGAGATCGCATTAATAACAGTTGCAATAAGTTGAAAATGCCACAAATTCTTAACAGAAAAAAAGTGTAAATGCAGCTCAATAGGAAAGGTCGGCAAAATGCATTCACTGATCACCAGTTGTATTCGAAACGATATCCCGTACCTACGATAATTTATTCAAGCGTCTTGAAGAACGGAGTTAAGCCTTATGATACACCCCCCGTTAATTTTTCATTTGGTTAACTATTTTTGCGGAATTTGCCACAATGAATGTACTCATAAATGGATATTTTCAACAGGTTTTTAACGAGTCAGGAATGGCATTATAGATCTTTGTAACATTATAAAGAAACGATCTTTGGTATAGTGAAGTATGGTGTATTGGGGGGTAAGGTATGTATGTATTTTTTTCTTGCAATACATACTATCTGTATACTGAAATGGTGATTATGGTATTGGGTGCATCGTAATTAACAAATGTGTTTATCTTACCGTGAAAATGATATCAATATCCACCAAAGTCAGAGTAAATATTATACTATGAAATTAAATTCTACAGAATTTTTCATTCTTACGGTAGTAAAAATAAACAATTTGAAACTTCTGAAAGTGTATTTGAGACGTAGTGATTCTGAAGAAACATCTTTTCAAATGTAGGAAAAACCAACATGACTACTCACTCATAATCTCAAGAACTTTAGTCGTTCAATGAGAAAAGGTTATTTGCAGATTTTTAAATTTTGATCTATAACTTTGAGAGGAAATGAATGAATCACCATTGATTCAGAAGTAGTACGCAGATACTATGCATCAAAAAGAATTTTTGCGATACAACGGGAATTTCTTGAAGTAAAAATTATTTTTGAAATCCCCACTTCTCTCTCCAAACACATGGTCCTATACAATAACCACTGCATATCCCAGCCACTTGGGTTTTTTCAGCTCAAAAACCATTTTTGCAAAAGAACATTTCTGAAGAAGCTTCATCAGTAGAATCGAAAGGATCAATTCATTAAGAAATGAATTAGAATTTGAAATTTAAATTACTGCATGAACACTTCTGCTATTAATAGAAACTTTGTTGAAGAAAGTATTGTCCACGTTCAATTAATATGGTCATACCACACCAAAGCTATCATACAATTTTTTTTACTCTCGCACCATGAAGTTCGAAAGAAGGGACCTGTAGTACTCATATTCATGTATGTTTCAATAATTTTTTTTCAGACCCAGGCCTATCCTCAAGCTACTGTCAATGGTCCCATTTTCGACTTCATCAAGGAGCTCTTACTGAACGGAGAGAAAAGTATTGATAAGGTTCTCTTAAAGCTTGACGAACTTCTTAATTCCGCTATTTCTGATTCGATCCAATTCCAACAAGAAATCGTCAGCGTTGCTAGCAATGGTGTTGACAAAGTACTTGATTTGGTGAACTCAAGGTTGGATAAAATCAAAGCTCGTAAGTTCCATAAGCTCTATAACTTCTCAACGAAATAACATTGTTATAGAAAAATTGATGACGTTCTGAATTGAAATCCTGTAATTTTTTCCATATTAGACGTAGTCATTCCTGAATTTTGCAACATTTCAAATTCGAAATTCCGCTAGTCAACCGGTGTATCGGGAGACACAGATTCATTTCTCGAATAATTTTCACAACATTTAAAATATTGAATATGCTCACAAGATGGTACTTTTTCCATCTTCCGGTTTTTCTGGAAATGACATCAAAGTTTGATAATTTTTAAATGAAACGCCCTGTATACTATTGATTTCTTTAAATGCACCTAATTTCATGAATCCGATAATACTCCATAGCTGATATTCGAATTATGGATTGACACAGATGGTTATGTCAGCTGGCCAGCAAGATCACCAGACTTAAGCCATTTAGACCTTTTCACGATCCTCGCGGGTTATCGGGAAAGTTGCTATAGAATAATGAAACAACTGTGGATGTTTCTATGAACTGTTATTGTGAGTCAGTTACTGAATACATTGTTGGAGATCGCATTAATAACAGTTGCAATAAGTTGAAAATGCCACAAATTCTTAACAGAAAAAAAGTGTAAATGCAGCTCAATAGGAAAGGTCGGCAAAATGCATTCACTGATCACCAGTTGTATTCGAAACGATATCCCGTACCTACGATAATTTATTCAAGCGTCTTGAAGAACGGAGTTAAGCCTTATGATACACCCCCCGTTAATTTTTCATTTGGTTAACTATTTTTGCGGAATTTGCCACAATGAATGTACTCATAAATGGATATTTTCAACTTATTACTGTTATCAATACGATCTCCACAATGTATTCGGTAACTAACCAACAACAGTTCATCGAAACTCCAAAAGTTGGTTCATTGTCTCATAACAACTTCCCTGCTATCCTGCGAGGACCTTGCAGAGGTCTAAAGGGCTTAAGTCGGGTGATCTTATAGGCCATCTGACAGAACCATGTTCTAATCCATGATATCCATGATTCAAATATCAACGAAGGCGTATCATCGGATTCTGAAAATTATATAGATTTGAAAAATGTTATGATATATAGGAGGTTTATACAAAAATCAAACGTTGATGTCTTTTCGAAAAATCCGGAAGTTGGGACAAATATCCTGTTACGTCAAATAGTGCTTCTTTGTAAGCATATTTCATTTCGAATTTCGAAAATAAAAGATCTACATCTTGTTTAGGACGGCCTTAACTATAGATAATCTAATCATCAACTGAATTATCGAAAAGTTTCCTGATTCTCATTTGTATTATTATATTATCGATAACATTACCTACATAAAGATATACCGACTCTGATGTAACTAGTAGTTTATTTCAAGATTGATACTTGATAATCAATATTTTCAAGGAGTATTGTCGATGTGTGAACAACTGATTTGAAGTAAAATGGAATAAAGACAGCCTACAATAATTTACTGTAATATCATAGTTTTTTTCTGAATTGAATTTTGGAATTATTGAGCCCTTCTAAGTCATTCATAGCAAGAAGATATTCTGAAAATGGTAAATGTACATCAGTTTCACATGTTTTCGCCTGAAAACCATCTAGAAAAATATATATTTCGAAATAAGAAACGAGTCTCTAGCACATGAACCGTTCCATACCAAACAATTTCACAATCAATATGTTCTACCTTGCCTAATCTATAGTTAAATTGTTAAAATAATAATCTTTGTGCTCGAAAGCAGACTCGTAGTACCTAATTTTGGACGAAGACAATTTAAGTGAATATGGAAACATTTATTTCGTAGGAGACTGTTCCAGTTGTCCTCAAAGTATATACTAACTACAGTATTTGATTGCTCTAATCTGGGAGCAATCAAGTGTTGGTAGCCAAATTATATCAATGTTAATTATTTGTCCTTTCCATTTGAATCTATATCTGTATTTCTGAATTTTTGTCAGTGAAGGTGGAGTCCCAAAGTAAGCTGTAGTGCGACTGGACCTCGGCAAACTTCATTTAAAATTACAAATATTAGAGTTTGGAGTTGAACGTTCAGAATGATGTATACCTAACTCAAAAGTTTTCGATGAGCATGCAAGCTTCACAGCTTGGGAAATTTCTCGAGCACTAATTATTTCATTATTCAACTTTTCTATTCACATTCAAAAATTGAAAAAAAAAGTAATACTGCGATATTCGATTTCTGAAAAAATCTAATATTTTCTTTGGGGACAATCTGAAACCTGAACTTGGGAGTAGGCGCCTAATCTCTACTCCGTCTGAACACGCGACACTGCTGTACCGTGGTTAGTTTTGTCCGACACCAATATATTCTAAGAGTTTCTGATTTACTAAGCAAAGTTCATTTTTCAATAATCGCGTTCGTTGTCATTTCATATTATTTTATTTCATGTTTTCAATTATTAATTTCAGGAGGAGACGGAAATACGGTCAAGGTCATCACTTGTATCCAGAACAGCAGAGATCAAGCTAAAAACAATGTTGTTGGCTTAGTTGACAGAAGTACGAAATGTGATCTCTCGTTGGCACAAGAAGTACTGCAATCTATCGTTGATTTGTCACCCAAAATTCAGAAAATTAAATCTGAATTATTTGCAGCAGTAGACAAAATTCAAGAGTGTGATGGAAGCAATTGGGCTGAGGAAATTAAATGCGGAGCTGACGTAAGTATATATTATAAGTTTAATTGTAGTAGAAACAAGTTTCGGTTTTAAAACACTCAAAAGAAATTTAACAAATGGAACTCTGAAATGAATAAATTTTGTTGTGAACAGAATTGTCCATCTAAGCAACAGAGTGCTCCAAAACATATCATGCATCGTGCACATTATCTCCCAGACAAGGCTGCTTATACAGCGTCGCACTAAGGAACGACCGATTTTTTTCATAATATGCGGCTGGGTATAGGAATTCTTTTAGGTGGGGTGAAAGGACACAAATCAGTAGTTTTTTCAGAATTTTTAAAATTCAAAATGCCAAAATAAATATGATGTTCAAACTAATTGCTTGTTTTCCATTATTCGTAAAATGGAAAATAAATGAGCGTTTTTCAGACATCAAAATGAAAATTTAAAAAAGATAGTTCACAATAAAATTGAACTCAATTTGAACAAACATAGTTATTACACCACTTCTCAGTTAAATCATCTGAAGGAACAATTTTCTTCTCAGCAGGTAAATAAAAATCATAATAACTGAAAAAAACCGAGTGACATAGACTCTTTGAACTATCAGGGCACATTTGATACCTATACAGGCATATAGAGGATCCCTCAAAAATATTTTTTCAATTTTTTTTAAATTCAGGCTTACATTCCTTTCAACCAGAAAAATTATTATGTATTATGTGATACATCTATTCTGCGAAAACTATAAAGCAATATAAATTTGATGGTAATGATGGTCTTCAAAATATACCGAATGATGAATTTCACTAGTTCAATGTTTCACGAAACATTGTCAATCACCTTCAAACAAACATACCGAATGATATTTTTGTGAATTATTTTTGCAAAGGTATGACAATGGAGCATCTCTGTATCTGTAAAGTAGAGAGGGTGAGTGTAGACCCACAGCATTTAGGCCACATGTGACCCATTGTGCATCCATTGTCCATTGACATGGGCAAATCTCTAGGAGACATCTCCTTTATATTGGCAGGTGTAGGCCAAGAGTCGCCGAAAACACACTCTCCTTGACAACCTCACAGTGGCCTCCGTGAAGATTTCGGAAGGTGCAGCGACATTACTGTCGTTGCGCGGCTTCTTCAACCGTCTTGGGGTTCCCTCCGTGGAGGTGCAGAAGTGAGGGAGCTTTCCTACAGGAGCAGCCGATTCCTTGCCTTTATTCTAGGTGGAGCTCTTGGCGCCCGCCACAGGAAATGTCCTTGCTGTTGTAGATGGAGTGGTGAAAGAGGCGGGTGCACTTATAGTTGCTGTCCCTTCTGCCTCCTTCGTTCTCTTTCTCCTTTTGGCCTCGGCGCCGCAAATGCGCTTACGCCTTGGTCTTTGTATTACATCACGAGATGATTTGCTATGTCCAGCCTCATTCCAAACGGTAGATTGGAGTTGACATTTCTGTGCATCCCCAGCCACCGCCTCAGATTGAGGTGAGCACTTCTGTCCAGCCTCGAGATTGGTTTTTGTTTTTGTTGTTTCTGTTTTTGTGTTCGTTTCATTCATGTGTGTTCCCACGAGTAACAAGGGAAGTGTTGGTCACCTCTGGCAGAGCCCGCATTACCAGTGGTAGGCTGATTATAATGAGGTTTCGCCCAGTTCCCCAAGGGGATCGTTCGTAACCGCATACCACTCTGTGGCCATTCAGCTGTCGGCACAATTCCCTACACCTTAGGCATGTTTTACAAAGGCTTTTGGGGAGTTTCAGTTCCCCTCACCATACTTATTTCTGCCACTGACCAGGAATCCGGTGACCCCGTCCGTAAGGCCACATTGGCTTCCCGGACAGGGCCTCCAGCCCCCTGGCCGTTCCCCTATCCGCCACCTGGGGACGCACCCGATAGGTAGCCCAACCCACGGGGACAATGGAGATGGGATGAATATTCCAAATGAATTTCGTATATTCGATGTCCTTCATATAAAAACAATGATGAACGGAGAAGAGAAAGAAAGAGATTTGAAAAATAATGGAGTTGGTTCAGTTCCCGACGAAAAACTAAAAAATTGAATGGTTTCATGCAATTTATATATCGTATCATCGATATATTTGATAAGTTTTTAACTTCATATTTTGATAAATTGAAGAAAGTGTCCCATGAACAGTATTTTATAACCTCTCATTTTTCAGATTATCAAAAACATCGATGCAGTTATCTCCAATAACAAGGATAATGTTATAAACGACTTACGTGGATTGATATCAAAAATTAAGGACTTGGCAAAAGAAGTGTATCCAAAATGCCTGGTTCCTAACTGGGAAATATTTCAAGACCAACGTTTTGTAATTATCAACAGCATTGCTGCTTGTATGACATCCTAAATCATCACCTGAAACTGTATAATCTCTGAGTGATAATAAATACCTATTCGAAAATGATGTTTTTGATGAAAAAATTCAGATTATGGCATTGTTAACTAGATGGAGCATATATGCGATATTGGAAACTAGACAAAGTTTACTAAGTTTCAGCAATGTCACGTATCGGAAAAAAATATTGGGAATTCCAGCTAGCACTATCTAATTGAATGAAATATTCAACTGTTAGGTTGTTTCAAAAGTTTTGTCCTTTTTGATGTTATGTGTTCTTGTAGCTCCATATCCCAATGAATATTCACTCTACTGCGGTACATGCTGACCGATAAAGAATTTTGTACTACATAATGAGTGATTTTTTGCTGGTATCTTTTTGGCAACACTGTTTTTGAGAGATCACGCGTGAATCGTGTCTAGTGTCATTGTCAAACTTGTTCAGTTTGATCTATAATTTAACCATGAATCGACTTACGAATGAACAACGCTTGCAAATTATTAAATTTTATTATCAAAATGCATGCTTGGTGAAGAAAATGCATCGTGCACCTTTCAATTTATGGGCAGTTTCGTCGGCCTACTGAGGGAGCTATTCGGAAGCTTGTGACTAAATTTCGAACCCAGTTCACATTAATGGACGTTAAACCACCAACACGCATACGTAGAGTGAGGATCGGAGAAAATATTGCGGCTGTATTCGCAAGTGTTCGTGATGACCGTGAATTGTCGATACGCCGCCGTTCTCATCAATTGGGCCTCTGTTACTCCACTACGTGGAAAATTTTGCGGAAGGATGGGTGTAAAACCTTATGAGATACAGCTGGTGCAAGAATTGAAGCCACACGACCTCTCATAACGTCTAACATTTGGTGAATGGGCGATGGCAAAGAAAAATTGTGTTAACGACAAGCAAAATTGCCGCATCTGGAATGAAGACCATCCACAAGCGTTGCAAGAGCTACCGATGCATCCCGAAAAAGTCACTGTTTGATGTAGATTATGAGTCGGTGGCATTATCGAGCCGTACTTCTTCAAAGACGGCAATGACCAGAACGTTACTGTGAATGGCGAGCGCTAGCGTGTGATGATTGACGACTTTTTGTTGCCCAAAATGAAAGAATTGGACATGCCTGATATGTGGTTTCAACAAGACGGTGCCACATGCCACACGGCATGCATAACAATTTCCCATTTCTCACGTTTGGGGCCCGTCAATTGGCCGCCTAGATGGTGTGATTTAACGCCTTTGGATTATTTCTTGTGGGGTCATGTTAAGGCTCATGTCTACAGAGATAAACCAGCAATGACTGACGCTCTGGAAGCCAATATTGGAGCATTTATACGTGAAATACCGGTCGATATGTTAGAGAGAGTGTGCCAAAATTGGACCTTGCGCATGGGCCATCTAAAGCGGAGCCGCGGATAACATTTGCATGAAATCATCTTTAAACATTAAATCATATTGATCGTTCTATCGATTCCGAGGCTATCGATTCCAATAACGATTTCATCAATTTTTTCAAATTGTTTGTGTTGTTTTGAAAATGAAATCCCCTACCTCTTAAAAAAATCACCCGTTACATTGATGCTGTTCATTATTTCCGAAAATTCAATTTTCTGCCTCTTTTCTGCTTATTACTATATATTACAGTTGAGCGATTTTTCGTGTTTCTCTCTCCTTTTTGAATTGGATCGTCACGTGTGGTGAGGACAACAGGTCAGCAAAAGCTAATGCCACACACGTATTAAGGGGGCAACTCCAATGCTAGTTTACTGTTATTTCAATATGAGCCTACATCTACAATGAGATGAAAATGATTCTATAAATATCTGACATTATGCTGAATAATTGTTTCTTGACCAAAACCAGCCTATTCACTCAGTGGTGTGGGCGTGGGAACTCTAAAGAAAAGAAATGTTATATAAAGTAAAGAGGCGCCACTCGTTTAATACGGTTTTGTGTCGCCAAGAAACTCACTTAAACGGAAAAAAAATATAATCGATAATTATAAATAACAATCGATCATAAATAATCAATACTTAATGTCCAATAGAAAGAATTGATTTACTAAATATCATTTAACCAATACAAGTTGATAACTCTGGTGGATATTGGCATTAATCTCAAAATATATATCATTCATATATGAATCTCCAAATATAGCTATAATTGGCTCACAAAATAAAACTCTTATAATTATGACATAAGAAAATATGGTCTCATTTATTCATGTGATAATAATTTTTTTTCAATTAAGGAAGTGCCTGCACTGGTATGATTTGGTTTTTGGCAGTATCGTAGCAGCAATCCCAGCGGTAGAAATTATAGATAAACAATGGAGAAATACTCGCTTACCGGACGTATCCTTCTTGCAATATTGTATAAAAATAGACCAAAATAGACCAAATAGTCCTCACGAATACCGATCCTACGATAGTACTTCGGATCTTAGCCCGGCAGGACTTCAAAGAGTTTTCCTGTTTCACCCAGAAAATCTATCGTCGAGCAATAGATTGAAAATGATCTGTGGTGCGTACAAGAAAATAGAAAATCCAAAACTGGAACCCTAAAAATTATACCATTCGAATCGTAGCATACATACAACACACCAAAGGAAATGAAAGATTAGTTATTTTCATTGTTTGTTTTTGCCTAACCTCAATATTAGAGGGTTCATTCACTCAATAGTAGGTTTCCAAAAGAAAATGATAAGACTCAAAATTTCTTTCTAGAGTTCAGTGCACAAATCCATAAAAGCAGGAAATTTCAGGATTGGTATCAATTGGAGCATCAAACTAATTCCTATATGATGATTTATATCTGCAACAATCTTCAAATCGACAAAACTTTATAACAATACATAGTAGCTGATCTCCAGTACACTCACTGTGGCTGTTGTTGCAATTGAACTATCCGCTTATTGTGAGTTCTTTGCTTTCATTTATTGTAAGTTTGCAGCTGTTGCGAGCATTAACATACCCAGTTGTGTTTTCGGCATTGGGATTTTTGCGCTACTGCCGGTAGGCAAGATTTTTGGAGGTCACAGTTTGTTCGCAATTTTTGTTGGACCAAGGTTTGTGGTAAGAAGTTGGTTTCATTGCAGAAGGAATATATGCATCCATGGATGATACAATAACTTTCGTGACTACAGAAGCATAAGTAAATGGATCTTTAGAGCTGAAACAAACATCTAGTCAGAGGAAATTTCGGAAATGGTCTTGAAGATCCTCCCTTTCAGCTGATCTGTAATGCTATACTTTGCGCGGCTTAGATTGTTCCCCAACATTCGTCGGTTTGTGGTCAGAAGTTCCCAATGGAGACCTTACGGTGACTCTGTAAATTTCTAGATTGGTTGTTGAGTATAGATCCAAAAGACTAGCATATTCTCCATCAAGGTCAGGAATCCTGGTTGGTTCATTTATTATCTGAGTAAGTCCGCTGCGTATTGCAAAAGCCTCAGGCTTCGCGACCTTGTTCGTTGCTAATATTTGAAAATTTTAGCCATTCGATATTGTGAACATTGAAGTCACCGAATATGGAAATTTTGGCACTGGGATGATTGATTTGCAAAAAGTCAATGGTGTTTGCAAGTGAAGATAACAGTGCCCTATATTGTGTATCGCTAGGTGGTCAAAACGCAGCATATGAATTTGGTGATCTTCTGTGATATTATTTTGAACCATATAACATCAAAGTTTTGGGGTTCCAGCATTTCCTCTCGTTGATAGGAGAGATCGCTTGTGATAAAAAAAAAATTCTGAATCGGGATAAAGAAAATTGACGAGGTTTGTTGAAGTACTGACTTTGGTTTTTGTGAGGGCAAAAATATGAGGACATTTGATTGCAGATGTTGGTGCACCTAGTTCATATTTGAGTTGAGTCCTCTGATGTTGCGGAAACCAATTTTGAAGTTGATAGTGGGCCTCTTAGTAACTGCAGTTACCAGGTTCCCTATGGACTGATGTTGGAAAGACTCTGCTGACTGTCAGAAATAAGGGTTCCCGAATAACGTCTGCAGGATGATGCCCTTGAATCAGCTTCCACTCGGAGATCCGATTGGAGAGCTACTTTTCCTCCGGAGGATTTTGACTCTAGGAGCACCATCACACATTTTTCACTCTTGAAGCCGGAAACAAAGCACAGCAACGAAACGTTAGCCCAAAAGCAACTGCACACTGCCTGAGCCGTTGCGATGGTATATCACGGGCGATGCCGGGTGGTATCAGCATCTACCATCTGCATGACATTGTTGATCTGGAAACTGATATCTAGGACAAAGAATAAGGCTTTCGCAGCTGCAAATGAAATTCAGAAGTGCTCTGGAGCTTACGTGATAATGTAAACTCAAACAGGATAATAGTGATGGATTATATTGAGTTTTCGATCGAAAATGTACTACAAGACATTATAGAGGAAAGGAAAGAACTCTGAAAATCAAGGAGCATTGACTTATTAACAATACGTTTGACAAAAATGTAAAAATTGGTCTTGTTTTCACTTTAAAACTGATTTTAAGAGGCAAGTAAATGCTCAAACTGTCAGCCAATGTACAAATTATTTTCGAATCGTTATCATAGATGAATTTCACTAGTTCGGACTTCCATTGTCTACTATAAAAAATGATTTAAAATCCCTGGCGAANCATGTATCACTGAAATTCAACAAACAAAATAATTCAGATCATTTCAAAGGAATTTTAATAAGAGTAAGTAAACGACGTGGTACGACGTTTTACTTTCTATTGGTATTTTGTAAACATGAATTGTTTTGACTGTTGCATTTAGGTGATACATGAATTAAATTGATTGTTGATCATTTTTATTCGTCGCTGCGGTCGAACGGATTATTACCGTACCATGACCAACGCCATACATATATGCAGTTGAGTAGTTCCATAAAAATACGTCCGACGTCAGCGCCGAATAAAAATGATCAACAATAAATTTAATTCATGTATCACTGAAATTCAACAAACAAAATAATTCAGCGCATTTCAAATGAATATTAATAAAAAGCAAAATGGCGTGCCACGCCGTTTTACTTTTTATTATTATTCCTTTGG